GACAGAGACAGATAGACAGATAGTCAGAGACAGATAGACAGATACAGCAGATGACAGAGACAAGTAGTCAGAACAGATAGACAGACAGATACAGATACGTACAGAACGATAGTACAGAGACAGATAGACAGAGACAGATAGTCAGAGACGTAGCAGATAGACAGACAGATACAGAGACAGATAGTCAGACAGATAGCAGCATAGTCAGAGACAGATAGCAGAGACAGATAGTCAAGAGACAGATAGACAGATAGAGGACAGATAGTCAGAGACAGATAGACAGAGAGATAGACGAGACAGATAGTCAGAGACAGATGCAGAAACAGAGACAGATAGTCAGAGACAGATAGTCAGAGACAGATAGTCACAGAGACAGATAGCAGAGAACAGATAGACAGATACAGATAGCAGACAGATGACAGAGACGATAGTCAGAGACAGATAGTCAGAGACAGATAGTCAGAGACAGATAGACAGAACAGATAGTCAGAGACAGATAGACAGACAGATACAGATAGACAGATAGTCAGAGACAGATAACAGAGACAGATAGCAGACATCAGAGAGTCAGAGACAGATAGACAGAGACAGATAGACAGAGACAGATAGACAGAGACAGATAGTCAGAGACAGATAGTCAGAGACAGATAGACAGAGACAGATAGTCAGAGACAGATAGACAGAGACAGATAGCAGAGACAGATAGTCAGAGACAGATAGACAGAGACAGATAGACAGAGACAGATAGACAGAGACAGATAGTCAGAGACAGATAGACAGACAGATGCAGACGTAGTCAGAGACAGATGACGAACAATGCAAGACAGATAGACAGAGACAGATAGACAGAGACAGATAGACAGAGACAGATAGCAGAGAAGTAGACAGAGACAGATATCAGACAGATGACAGAATAGACGTACAGAGAGAAGCAGAGACAGATGACAGAGACAGATAGACAGATAGACAGAGACAGATAGACAGAGACAGATAGTCAGAGACAGATAGACAGAGACAGATAGACAGAGACAGTAATAAGAGACAGATAGTCAGAGACAGATAGACAGAGACAGATAACAGAAGAAACAGATAGACAGAGACATGATAGCAGAGACAGATAGACAGAGACAAGATAGAACAGAGACAGATAGACAGAGACAGATAGCAGAGACAGATAGTCAGACGTAACAGAGCATAGACAGAGACAGTATCAGACAGAGACAGATAGACAGAGACAGATAGTCAGAGACAAATAGTCAGAGACAAATAGTCAGAGACAGATAGACGAGACAATAAGACAGAGACAGATAGTCAGAGACAGATAGTCAGAGACAGATAGTCAGAGACAGATAGTCAGAGACAGATAGTCAGAGACATAGACAGATAGACAGAGACAGATAGTCAGAGACAGATAGACAGAGACAGATAGTCAGAGACAGATAGACTGCCCAGGTCTCCACTAGTGTATTATTATTATAATTATTATTATTTTATAATGTTTTTAAGGAGGAGGGCCAGAGTTGAACCCACACTTACATTAGTTTACATGGTGTTCTGAAGGCAGCGACTTTGGCTACTAGACACCACCCCAAGCCACTACACACCCCAGTGTTATTGTCTTACTGTCGTAGGAGTGGCGCCACCTCTCTGAGGACAGTTGTACTGCATTAATGTTGTGCTCTGTTTTATCTGAATACCTGATTATTTCCAAGACACATTTCCACGTCCTTTCCACTACATCTGAAAGGACTGATTAGAAAGACTGGTTGTGTTCCAAAATGCACACTTGCGTTCTGCGTTCTGCGTTCTCGCATTCTTTCAAGGGTGATCTTCCAAGAACACCTGAGAGAGATACCGTCTAGTATGGGAGAACGCAGAGCGCTTAAAATCCGCTACATTTGAAACGTACTTCGACGTGACCTCTAACCTAAACAGGAAACTGCATCATCGCTCGGCCGGCGTCAACAAAGCTAGCGTTTATGTTAGCTAACTAGCTAGGTCTGTTTACAGCCACTGTAGCATCGTGAGCAACTAGTGCTAGCAATTCAGTGAACAACTATCCCAGAATGGAAATATTTAACACAAGTAAACAAGTAACAGCATCGATTTTCTCAGTACCTGTTAGTGTATTAAGCTGACACCAACCAGAATAATTTTATGTGGGGTATGGCAGGTAAGCTTTCATGCATTGTATAGAGGCTGAAGCAACAACAAAAAAATGAAATGGCTAAATAAGCTTTTTTGCTTACTGTTTAAGAATGATAAATAGCCAGAGTAGTGGTGTTTCACTGTGAAGCTAATATTGCATTAGGACTGCAGGTGTTTTATTTCCAATGAGCAGGCTTGCATCGTGATAAATTCATACAACTTTAACTCCCATCAATATTATTAAAATGACAGTGATGTTCACGATAGCTTGGTTTTATATTCACCTTACGCATCGATAACAAATATGCGATGATGATGCATTACAACTAGATTAGAAGGCCTAGAGTACTTCATCCTAATGTAAGCTAAACGCATTGGATGCAAAACAAACACTGACATATTATAAAGGATAACTAATTTAATTATATGCATGCATGCATATCAAACAGGAATATGTTAAATTAAATGAATACACCACTTGTGATATTATTTCCTGTCTTCTCCTTGCAGGGGATTAGACAGGTGAACTGCTGTCACCAGATGGCCCAAGCCTCAAAACCAGAACCGTGGAGAGACATCAACACTCATTTTTGAATAAATATTAACCCATTTATTGCTTTTCCTTTATCTGTGTATTAATCCTTAGAACACGGTCCAGGATACACATGGTCCAACCAAATGCTTACTGCATGTTCCTTCTCGACAATGCAGCAACAATAAACTATTATAAAATATAATTATACCAAAGATGAAGTAAATGGCTCAGTAGAATATAATATACATTTTAGTGAAGGGACATCATGGAGATTCGACATTCAAAAGCTTGTTCAGGACATGAGAGCAAATGTTGTCATGACAGCCACAGTTTTTTTTATTTTTTTTATACACAGGACAGGAGTTTACAGGTTTTTGTCCCAGCCCTTCACTAACACCTCATTCAACTAATTGTGATCTAAATTGTAGACCATGAATAGTTGAACACTGTTTGTGCTGGGCAGGAATAAAAACTTGCACACGGCGCAGTACACTGGGGCAGAAATCACCCACGTCTGTATTTTAGAATGAGTTTCATATGTTACAATGAGCTGACAATTCTACATGATAGAGCATAATGATAGAGCATAATGATAGAGAATAATGATAGAGAATAATGATAGAGAATAACGTACAGATCTACGTCTAACATAGTGATGCTGCACACTGCTGAACAAACTGACTAAACTCCTGGGATAGGGTGATTTTCCTGGTGGACGGGAGGTTCCCAAGTGGGTGATGGGGTGGGATGGGCAGAGCAGAAACATAAGGCCAAGGGACTAGAAATTAACCTCACTGCTCACATTTCAGTGCTGGTTCAAGTTGCTGAGAACCACAACTACCTTTGTTAATGTGCAATGGTTTTGTAAACAGTTTTGCATATTCATAGGCTTGATCAAGTTGTCACCAATTTACTTTTAATTGATCGTTTCGTTATTCAAAACATTTTCTTTATGTGCAATGGTGAAACGCAAAGGAAGGGGAAAGTGACAAGAAGAAAGTTAGCTAACGTTAGGTAAACAGACACTGCATTGACTGTGAGAATGGTACAAATAACATGGCTGGCTAGCAAGATTGAACAGAACAGAGCTAGCTGCACGTTAAAATGTATTACGTCCAAACCAGTCGGGCGCGACTGTTTTGTCCTGCCAATGCCATGGAGTGAAATGAACATATCAGTTGCCATCTGTCCCTGAAAACGAGTCATTAGCTGGCTAGCAAGTTCACCAATTCAAGATTTAAAACCGTCTGGGTCTTCACAATTGACACAGCTGATTTTACGATTCGTTTTTTGTTGTTGTTCATCCCTAAACAGCTGATAACCAGGACAAGATCGCCTAACTAGCTATCGCGCCGGACGAGCTAACTGACTTAGCTTGGCTAGCGGGCTGATCAACAGCAGTGACTCCACATTTTAATTCAAAATTCATATGAAAGTAATTTTAAACATTTTTTACAACATTTGTTGAATAAATACATTTTACAAAGTTATTCCTTATTCCTCTGGAACATTTTCTCCCAAGCGGGTACTTCAGTCCGCCATTAATTCTGAAGTTTGGGGAATTTTTGTTGTGTCGCAAAGTGTTATGGGATAGCCTCCCCCGGCGAAGGGAGCAAAGAAGTATGCTCCCATGCGTGCTTTGTTTTTCAGACCTCCCAAGTACGCTTCTAGAACTTCCTGGAAAACTTAGTACATACTTGTCTTTTTGCGTTCTTAGGTTTGGATTCGCAATTGAACAAATTACAGTTGACTTCCGGACTCGCTATACGCACTAGATAGAACACAAGTATGCATTTTGGAACACAGGAGGGTGAATTTCTCCTAGATGCTCTTCTTGGGTCAGTTTAGCATTTTCTCCACTAAGGATTGGGGGAGGGGAGGCTGATTGGGGGAGGGGAGGCTGATTGGGGGAGGGGAGGCTGATTGGGGGAGGGGAGGCTGATTGGGGGAGGGGAGGCTGATTGGGGGAGGGGAGGCTGATTGGGGGAGGGGAGGCTGATTGGGGGAGGGGAGGCTGATTGGGGGAGGGGAGGCTGATTGGGGGAGGGGGCTGATTGGGGGGGGAGGCTGATTGGGGAGGGGAGCTGATTGGGGGAGTGGAGGCTGATTGGGAGGGGAGGCTGATTGGGGGAGGGAGGCTGATTGGGTAGTGGAGGCTGATTGGGGAGTGGAGGCTGATTGGGGAGGGAGGCTGATTGGGGGAGGGGAGGCTGATTGGGGGAGGGGAGGCTGATCCTTGATCTGTACCTAGTGGAAAGTTCACTGCGTAGCAGAAAGACTGAGAGTAGACCTGCCCGTGACAAAGGTCACAAACAAGATGGCGGAAACCTCACCTGACTGGCCTACATTAGATGTCCAGCGGTATCCTCATCATGTCAAATACTTCACCTGGTTTTATGATGTGGTTTTATCATTAAACTTATAGATTTCCTGGCCTCTCCCTGAGACCTAGTTATGATCTCTTCCCTGAGACCTAGTTATGACCTCTCCCTGAGACCTAGTTATGAACTCCTCTCTCTGAGACCTAGTTATACTCTCTCTCTGAGACCTAGTTATGAACTCCTCTCTCTGAGACCTAGTTATGACCTCCTCTCCCTGAGACCTAGTTATGACCTCTCTCTCGACCTGAGTTCTACCCTCTCTCTAGACCTATTTATGACCTCTCTCTGAGACCTAGTTATGACCTCCTCTCTCTGAGACCTAGTTATGACCTCTCCCTGAGACCTATCTGACTCCCTCTCTGACACCTAGTTATGACCCTCCTCCTCTCTGATGACCTAGTTTATGACTCTTCCCTGAGACCTAGGTTATGACCTCCTCTCTCTGAGAACCTAGTTATGACCTTCCTCTATCTCTGAGACCTAGTTATGACCTCCTCTCCTGTTATGACGACCTAGTTATGACCTCTCTCCCTGAGACCTAGTTATGACCTCCTCCCTCTCCCTTGAGACCTAGTTAGGACCTTCTCTGAGGACCTAGTTTTATGACTTCTCTCTGGAGACCTAGAGATTATGACATTCCTCTCTCTGAGGGACATAGTTTATTGACCCTCTCCCTGAGACCTAGTTATGACCTCTCTCTGAGACCCTAGTTTATGACATCCTCTCCTGAGACCTAGTTATGACCTTTCTGAGACCTAGTTTATGACCTCCTCTCCATGAGACCCTAGTTTATGACCTCGCTGAGACCTAGTTATGACCTCCTCTCCCTGAGGACCTAGTTTATGACCCTCCTCTCTGAGACCTAGTTTATGACTTCCTCTCCGGAGAACATAGTTATGACCTTCTTCTGAGACCTAAGTTATTATGAAATCCTCTTCCTGAGACTTAGTGTATGACCGCTCCTTGTGACCTATTTATGACATCTCCCTGAGACATAGTTATGACGCCTTCTCCTGAGACCCCTAGTATGACCTCCTTTCTTATGAGACCTAGTTGTGACATCTCTCTCTGAGACCTAGTTATGGACCTCCTCTCTCTGATGAGGACCTAGTGAGTCCTCCTCTCCTGGAGACCATAGTTATGACTTCTCTGGACCTAGTTTGAACCCTCCTAGTTTTGAGACCTATTATGATATTCCTATCTCTCTGATGACCAGTTATGACCTCTCTCTCTGCAGGACCTACCTAGTTATGATCTCCTCTCTCTGTGGAGACCTAGTTATTATGAAACTCTCTCTGAGACCCTAGTTAGACACTCCTCTCTCTGAGACATAGTTATGACTCCTATCTCTGAGACTAGTTATGATCTCTCTCTGAGACCTAGTTATGACTCCTCTCCCTGAGGACCTAGTTTATGACCTCCTCTCCTGTGAGACCTTAGTTTATGACCTCTCTCGAGACCTAGTTATGACTTCTTTCTTCTGGAGGACCTAGTTATGACGGTCCTACTCTCTGATACCTAGTTGTTATGACCTCTCTCCTGCGACCTAGTTATACCTCCTCTCTCTGAGACCTAGTTATTGAACCTCCTCTCTCTGAGACCTAGTATGGACCCCTCTTCTATGTGGAAACCTAGTTATGACCTCCACTCTGAGACCCTAGTTTATGACGTCCTCTCTCTGAGACCCCTAGTTATGGACCTCTATCACTGTGAGACCAGTTTATGACCTTCCTCTCTCTGAGGCCTAGTGTAGCTTCTCTCACTGAGACCTAGTTATGACCTCCTCTCTATGAGACCTAGTTATGACCTACCTCTCTCTTGAAGACCTGTTATGACCTCTCCACTGAGACCTAGTTATGACCTCTCTCTCTGAGACCTAGTTATGAATCCTCTCTCTGAGACCTAGTTATGAACCTCTCTCTGAGACCCTAGTTTAATGGACTCCTCTTCCTGTAGACCTAGTTATGACCATCACTCTCCCTTGAGGACCTGTTATGACCTCTCTCTAGGACCTAAAGGGTTTTATGACCTACTCTCTGGAGACCCTAGTTTATGACATCCTCTCTCTGAAGGAAACCTAGTTTATGGACCTCTCCCTTGAGACCTAGTTGTTACTGGACCCCTCTCTCTGGGGACCCTAGTTTATGACCTCCTCTCCCTCGGAGACCTAGTTTATGGGACTCTCTCTGAGACCTAGTTATGACCTCCTCTCCGAGACCTAGTTGGAACTCTCCTGAGACCTAGTTATGACCCTCCCTCTCCCCACCTGAAGGACCCTAGTTTATGACCTCTCTTCTGAGAACCTAGTTATGACCCTCCTCTCCTTGAGACCTAGTTATTATGACCTCTCTCGGACCTAGTTTATGACCTCTCTTACTGAGACTTAGTTATGACCTCTCTCTTTGACCTAGTTTATTGGAACCTCTCACTGAGACCTCCTAGTTATGAAACTCCTCTCTGAGGGGACCTAGTTTCTGACCTCCTCTCTCTGAGACCGAGTTGTGGACCTCCTCGCTATGAGACCGTAGTTATGGACCTCCTCTCTTGAGACATAGTTAGTCCTCCTTCTCCAGAGGGACCTAGTTTGACCGCTCTCTGAGACCTAGTTATGACCTCCTCTTTCTGAGACCGATTTATGATATCCTATCCTCTGAGGACCTAGTTTATGACCTTTCTTCGCTGAGACCTAGTTATGATCTCTTCTTCTCTGAGACCTAGTATATGAACTCTCTCTGAGACCCTTAGTTTTAGACATCACTTCTCTCTGAGACATGTATGACCCCTTCTCCTCGTCTCTGAGACCTAGTTATGATCTCTTATGAGACCTAGTTATGACATCCTCTTCCTGAGACCTAGTTAGGACCACCTCCTCTCCCTGAGACCTAGTTAGTTATGACTCTCTCTGCGACCTAGTTATGACCTCCTCTTTCTCTGAGACCTAGTTTTTATGACGGTCCTCTTCTGAAACCTAGTTATGACCTCACTCTGAGACCTAGTTATGAAGTCCTCTCTCTGAGACATATTATGACTCCCTCACTGAGACCTAGTTATGACCTCCCTCTCTCTGAGACCTAGTTTTGAACCTCCTCTCAAGAGACATGAGTTATGACCTCCTTTCTTCTCTGAAGACCCTAGTTTGATGAACCCCTCCGCTCACTGAGGACCTAGTTAATGACTCCTCTCATTGAGACTAGCTTATGACTCCTCGCCCTGAGACCTAGTTATGACTCCTCTCTCTGCACCTAGATTTAATGATCTCTCCCTGAGAACCTAGTTATGAACTTCATCTCCCTGAGGAACCTAGTTTAGTTTATGATCTCCTTTCTCACTGAGCCCTAGCTATTATGCCCCTCCTTTCCTGAGACCTAAGTTATGAACCTCTCTCACTGAGACCGAGCTCTATGTATTATCTTGTTTCCTCCCTCACTGAGGACATAGTTATGACCCTCCTTCCCTGGACTAGTTATGACCCCTCTCATGAGACCTAGTTATGACCTCTCTCCTCCAGGAGGATAGTTAGGACCTCCTCTCTCGAGACTAGTTATGACCTCTCATGAGAACTAGTTATGACCTCCTCTCTCTGAGACCTCCTAAGTTATGAACTATCCTGGAGACCTAGTTTATGACCTCCTCTCACTGCTGACCTAGCTATATAAACCCTCTCTTGAGGACCTAGTTTATGATTCCTCAATCTCTCTGAGAACCTAGTTATGGACCTCTCTCTCTGAGACTTAGTTATGATCTCCTCTTCTCTGAGACCCTAGTTATGACCTCTATCTGAGACCTAGTTTGTGAACCTATCTGAAGACCTCGAGGTGTTAGTGACCCCCCCTTCCCAATGAGACCTAGGTTATGACCTCCTTCCCTCTGAGACCGAGTTCTGACCGACTCTCCCTGAGACTAGTTTTGACCTCTATCTGAGACCCCATTATGACATCCTCTCTCGGAAAACCTAGTTAGACCTCCTCTTGTGACCCCTAGTTATGATATCTCCCTGAGGACCTAGTTTTTATGACCTACTCTCTCTGAGACCTCTAGTTTATGACCTCCATCTCTCTGGGAACCTATAGTTATGACCTCTTCCCTGAGGGAACTAGTTATGACCCCCTCTCTCGAGACCCTTAGTTATGACCTCCTCTCTCTGAGAATCATACCAGTTTATGACCTCCCTCTCCATGAGACCTAGTTTATGACATATCCTGGACCTAAGTTATTTGACCTCTCCCTGGAGACCTAGTTTTATTTTATGACCTCCTCTCTCTTGAGACCTAGTTTGGACCTCTCTCTGTGACCTAGTTATGGACTCTCCCTGAGACCTAGTTAGTGACCTCCTCTTCTTCTGAGACCTAGTATGATCTCTCCTGAGACCTAGTTTATGACACCTCTCCCTGAGACCTAGTTCTGACCTCATTCTCTGATGAGACATAGTTTAGGAACATACTTCTCTGAGACCTCCTGTTATGACATCTCTCTCTTGAGACCTAGTTATGACTCTCCGTGAGACCTAGTATGACCTCCTCTACTGATAGCAGGACCTAAGTTATGACTCCTCTCCCTGAGACCTAGTTATGGGACCCTTTCTCTGAGACCTAGTTTTATTGATTCCTCTCCCTGAGGACCTAGCTATTGACCTCCTTCTCCCTGAGGACATCCTAGTTATGACCTTCCCTGAGACCGAGTTTTATGATCCTCCTATCCTGAGAGACTAGCTATTGACCTCTATTTCCCTGTGGGAGGGACCGTAGTTTTATGAACCTCTACGTGAGACATCCCTAGCTATGTCCTCCATCTCTCTGAGACATAGTTATGACCTCTCCTGAGACCTAGTTTATGACCTCCTATCCCTGCGACATAGCTGGAAAACCCTCCTCTCTCTAGTGAGACCTCCCTAGTTATGATCTTCTCTCTCTGAAGACCTAGTTTTATGACCCCTTCCCTCGCGACTAGGCTATGACTCCTCTCTATGAGGACCTAGTATGACCTCACTTCTGAGAACATAGGTTATGACGTCTTCTCTCTGAGACCTCGTTTCGACCTCCTCTCTCTGAGGACCTGTTATGACCTCTCTATGAGACCTAGTAATTGGGACCTTCCCTGAGACTAGTATGAACTACTCTCTCTGAGGACCCTAGTTATAAACTCCTCTCTCTGAGAATAGTATTGAAACTTGCCTCCTCGGAGGGGGGACCCTAGTTATGACCGCTCTCTGAGAACCTAGTTATGACCTCTCCCTGACGACCTAGTTATGGACTCTCCTGAGACTAGTTATGACCTGATCTTCTTTCTTGAGACCTAGTTATGACTCCCTCTCTCTATGAGACCCTAGTTATGACCTCCTCTCCCGTGAGACTTAGTATGACCTCTATCTGAGACCCATTATGACCCCCTCTCTCTGAAAACCTAGTTATGACCACTCTCCTCTGTGACCTAGTTATGATCTCTCCATGAGACCCTAAGTTATGATCCTCTCTCTCGTGGACCTAGTTAGGCCTCATCTCTCTGAGACCCTAGTTATGACTCTCCTGAGACCTAGTTATGACCTACTATCTCTGAGAACTAGTTATGAACCTCTCTCTCTGAGACATAGTTTATGACCTCCTCCTCCCTGAGGACCTAGTTATTATTATGACCTTCTCTGTGACCTAGTTATGACCTCTCCTGAGACATAGTTTATGACCTCTCTCTCTGAGGGAGAACTAGTTATGACCTCTCTCTGTGGACCATAGTTTTTATGGACCTCTCCATGAGCTAGTTTATGACGTCCTCTATCTGAGACCTAGTTATGGAATCTCTCCCTGAGGACCCTAGTTTCCTAGAGTTATGGACCTCTCCCTGAGACCTCGTATGACCTCCTCTCTCTGAGAACCTAGTTATGACCTCCTCTTCTCTGAGAACCTAGTTATGACATCCTCTTCTGAGGGACCTAGTTTAGCCTCTCCGTGAACCTAGGCTTATACCTTCTCTCTCTGAAGGACTCGTTTATGACCTCTCTCCCTGGAGACCTAGTTTATTGACCTCCTCTGAGACCTAGTTAGTTTGATCTCCTTCCCATGAGACCGAGCTATGACCTCCATCTCCTGAGGACCTAGTTATGACTCTCCCTGGGCTCGTTTTATGCTCTCCTCTATGAGGACTAGTAGACCTCCTCTCCCTGAGACACCCCCTCATAGTTTAGACATCTCCGTGGAGAACACCTCCCTAGCTATGGTTCCTCCTCTATCTGAGACCTCGTTATGACCCTCTACCCGGAGACCTAGTTATGACTCCTCTACCTGAGACCTAGCTATGACCTCTCCTCTCTGAGGACCTAGTTAGGATATCCTTCTCTCTGAGACCTAGTTTATGAACATCTCCTGAGACGGAGCTATTACCTTCCTCTCCTCTGAGACCTAGTTTATGACCCTCACTATGTGAGACCTAGTTATGAGTCTTTTCTCTCTGAGACATAGTTTATGAACCTCCTCCTCTCTCTGAGGACCTAAAGTATTATGACACTGCTCTCTGAGACCTCTAGTTTAATAGTTACTAGTAATGACCCTTCCTGAGACCTAGTTATATGTGACCTCTTCTCTTAGGACCTAGTTATAAACTCCCTCTCTGAGACCTTAGTCCTAGTTATGATGAAAAACTCTCTCTCTGAGACCTATTTTGACCTCGTCTCTGGAGACCTGAGTTTATGACCTTCCCTGAGACCCTAGTTATGACCTCTCTCTGAGACCTAGTTATTACATGCTCTCTTCGGAGGACTAGTTATGATATCTCTCCCTGAGACCTAGTTATGACTCCTCTCTCTCTCTGAGACCTAGTTATGCATCATCTCTCTGAGGACACCTAGTTATGACCCTTCGGCGAGACCTAGCTATATGACTCCTTCTCTATGAGACACTAGTTATGACCTCTCCCTGAGAGACCTCGTTATGAATCTCCCTGAGACCTAGCTATGGACATTCCGCATTCTGAGACCTAGTTTATGACCTCCATTCTGAGACATAGTTTTATGACGGTCTTCTCTCTTGTGACCCTAGTTATGAAGGGACCTCCTCTCCCTGAGACTAGTTTATGACCTCTCTCCCTGAGTGAGAACATAGTTTTGGGACCTCCTCTCTTCTGAGGACCTAGTTTTGGACCTCCATGAGACCCCTTAGTAATGACCTCTTCTTTCTGAGACCTAGTTATGATCTCTCCTGAGACCTAGTTTATGACTCTCTCTCTGAGACATAGTTTTATGACCCTCTCTTCTGAGACCTAGGTTATGACCCTTCCCTGAGACCTAGTTATGAACTCCTTCTCTCTGGAGACCTCCTAGTTAATTAAAACTCCTCTATCTGAGACCTAGTAAGAATCATCTCTCTGAGGACCTTAGTTAGACCTCCTCTTATGCGACATAGTTAGACCTCTCTGGGAGGACCTAGTTTATAACCTCCCTCTCTGGAGACCCTAGTTATGACCTCTCTTTGATGAGGACCCTAGTTATGATCTCCCCTGAGACTAGTTTATGACTACTCTCTCGGAGACATATTTTATGAACTCTCTCGGAGACCTCAGTTATGACCTCCTCTTGAGACCTAGTTATGGACCTCCTCTCACTGAGACCTAGTTATGACCATCCTCTCCTGAGACTAGTTATGAACCATCCTCTACGCTGAGGACCTAGTTATGACCTCACTCTTGAGACATGTTAGGACTATCTCTGAGACCTAGTTATGACCTCACTCTGAGACCTAGTTGACCTCTCTCTGTGAGACCTAGATATGACTCTTTTCATCTCTGGAGGGACCTAGTTATGATATCTCCCTTGAGCCTAGTTATGAAAATTCTCCCTTGCGGACACTAGTTATGACCCCCCCTCTCTCTGAGACCTAGTTATGGACTCTCTCTGGGACATAGTTATGACCTCTCCCTGAGACCTGTTATACCTCCTCTATCTGAGACCTAGTTATGACCTCTCTCTGAGACCATAGTTTTATGCCTCCTTCTCGGAGACCTAGTAGTTAGTGACCCTATCTCTGAGACTAGTTATGACCTCTCTCTGGCGAACCCTAGTTATGACATCCTCTCTCTGAGACCTAGTTTATGAAATCCTCTCTCTGGAGTCCTAGTTATGAACTCTCCCGGGATGAGACCCTAGTTATGACCTCTCTCTGAGATCTGTTATGACCTTCTCTTCCTGAGGACCTAGTTATGACCTCCCTCTCTCTTGAGACCTACCCTAGTTATGGACTCTCTCTGAGACCTAGTTATGATCTCTTCCCTGAGACCTAGTTATGACCCCTCCTCTTCTGAGACCTAGTTATGACTCCTCCTTCTGAGGACCTAGTTATGAAACTCTCCTGAGGGACTAGTTTTTTATCGACACTTCTCTGAAGACCCTAGTTGATGACCTCTCTCTGGAGACATAGTTTTATGGACCCTCCTCGCCTGGAAACTAAGTTATGACCTCTCCTGAGACCTAGTTTATAAACCTCTCTATGAGACCTAGTTATAAACCTACTCTCTTGGACCAGTTATGACCTCACTCTGAGACCTAGTTAAGGAGGCCTCTCTAGGAGACTAGTTATGACCCTCACTTTGAGACGCGTTGACCTCCTCTTCTCTGAGGGGACCTAGTTATGACCTCCTCTCTCTGAGAACCTAGTTATGACCCTTCTCTCTCTGCGACCTAGTTATGATCTCTACCTGAGACCTAGTTAGAACTCTCCTGAGACCTAGTTATGACCTCTCTCTGAGACCAGTTTTATGACCTCTCGTGAGCCTAGCTTATGACCCCTCTCTCCCTGAGACCTCCCTCCTAGGTTATGACCCTCCTCTCTCTGAGACCTAGTCTTATGACTCTCTCTCTGAGACCTAGTTATGCCCATTTCCCCTGAAGAACCTAGTTATGACCTTCCTCTCTCTGAGGACCCTAGTTATGGACATCTCTCTCGGGGACTAGTTATGAACTCTCTGAGACCTAGTTTATGACCTCTCTCTGAGACTGTTATGACCTTTCCTCTTTCCTGAGACCTAGTTATGGACCCCTCTCTCTGAGATAGTTATGACCTCTCCTGAGAATAGTTATGGATCTCTCCATGTGACTAGTTATTATGACCTCCTCCTTGAGACCTAGTTATGACATCCTCTCTCTGAGACCTAGTTATGAACTCTCACTGAGACCTAGTTATGACCTCTCTCTGAGACCTAGTTATGACCTCCTCTCCGAGACCCTAGTGCATGAAAGCTTTCCCTTGAACCTAGTTATGGACCCTCCTCTCTCTGAGGGACCCTCGTTATGACCTCCTCTCTCTTTGCGACCTATTTGAAACTCTCTCTGAGACCTAGTTCTGATCCTCCTGAGGACCCTAGTTATTGGACCCCTACTCTCTCTGAGGGAACCACCTAGTTTTTATGACATCCTCTCTCTGAGACTAGTTATGAAACTACTCCTGAGGGACCTAGTTATGGACCTCTCTATGAGACCGAGTTTATGGACCGCTCTCCCTGAGACCTAGTTATGACCTCCTCTCCCTGAGAGAGACCTAGTTTATTGAACTAACTCTCTCTGAGACCTAGTTATTTAAATTCTTCTCTATGAGACCCTATTATTGATCTCTCTCTGAGACCCTAGATTAGGATTCTCTTCTGAGACCTATTATGAACCTCCTCTCCCTTGTGAGACCTAGTTATGATCTCTCCCTGGAGACCTAGTTATGAACTCCTCTTCCCTGAGGACTAGTTATGGGACCTTCTCTCTCTTGAGACCAGTTATGAACCTCTCTAGAGACAAAACATAAGTTTATGACCCCTCCTCTCCCTTGAGGACCTAGTTATGACCCCTATCTTCTTGAGACCTAGTTATGACCTCCTCTCTATGAAACCCAGTTTAGTTATGATCCTCCTGAGAACCTAGTTAGACCCCCCTATCTCTGAGACCTAGTTATGACCCTCCTCTCTCTGAACCCAAGTATGATTCTCTCCCTGAGGGACCCCTAGTTATGACCTCTCTCTGAGGACCTAGTTAGGACCTCCTTCTCCCTGAGAATAGTTATGACCTCCTCCTCTGAGGAACTAGTTATGACCTCCTTCTCTGAGACATAGTTATGACCTTCTCTCTCTGAGACCTAGTAATGAACTCTCTCTGGAGGACCTGAGTTATGACCTCTCTCTCTGAGACATAGTTATGACCTATCCATTAGACCTAGTTTATGATCTCCTCTCTATGAGGACCTAGGTAAGACCTCCTCCCTGAAGACCCTAGTTATGACCCCTCTTCTCCCTGGAGACCCTAGTTTTATGACTCCTCTCCTGAGACCACTAGTTTATGACACTCTTATGAGACCTAGTTTATGCCTCCTCTCTCTGAGACCTGTTATGACCTCATCTCTCTGAGACCTGTTATGAACTCAATTCTCTGGAGACTAGTTTATGACCTTTCTCTCTGAGGACCTGTTATGAACCTCTTCCTGAGACCTATTTATGGGACCACCTCTCTTGGAACCGTTATGATCTCTCCCTGAGACCTACTTATTGACTCCTATTTCCCTCGACGACCAGTTATGATCTCTCTCTGAGACTTAGTTATGACCTCTCTTAGGACCCTAGTTATGACCCTGCTCTCTCTGATACCTAGGTATGACCTCTCTCTGAGACCTAGTATGACCTCCTCCTCTCTGAGACTAGTCCTAGTTTAGCTCTTCTGAGACCTAGTTATGATCTCTCCCTGAGACTAGTTATGGACCCCCTCTCTCTGAACTAGTTCCCATGACATCCTCTCTCTGAGACCAAGTTATGAACTCTCATTGAGACCTATTTTATGACCTCCTCTCCTGAGACCTAGTTTATTGAACCTCTCTCTGAGACCTAGTTATGATCTTCTCCCTTGAGGACCTAGTTATGACTCCTCTTCTCTGAGACATAGTTTTTAGACCATCTCTATCTGTGAGACCCTAGTTATGAACTCTCCTTTAGGACTATATGACCTCCTCTCTCTGAGAACATAGTTATGACTCTCTCTGAGACCCCCTAGTTATGACCTCCTTCTTCTGAGACCTAGTATGGCCTCTCCCTGAATGAGACCCTTTAAGTTATAAACTCTCTCTGAGACCCTAGTTTATAACCTCCTCTGTCTGAGGACCTTAGTTTTATGATCCCCCTCTCCCTGAGGACCTAGTTATGACCTCTCTCTGAGACCTAGTTATGAACCTCCTCTCCTTGAGGACCTAGTTATGAACCACCCTCCATGAGACATAGTTATGACACTCTCCCTTCTCTGAGGACCAGTTTATGACCTCTCCCTGAGACACCTAGTTATGGATGCTCGCCTTGAGACCCTAGTTATGGACCTCTATCTGAGGACCTCGTTATGACCCCTTACCTGAGACCCTAAGTTATGTGATTCCTCTCATGAGACCTCGTTATGACATCTCCCTGAGACCTAGGTTTATACCTCTTACTCTGAGAACTAGTATGATCTCTCCCTGAGATCCCATACTTCTGGACCTCCTCTCCCTGAGACAGTTATGATCTTCTCTCTTTGAGACATAGTTATGACCTCTCTTAGACCTAGTTATGACCTTGCTCTCTCTGAAGACCTAGTTATGACCTCTCCCTGAGGACCTAGTTTGACCTCTCCCTGAGACATAGTTATACCTCCCCCTCTCTCTGAGACCTAGTTATGGACCTCACATCGAGACCCTAGTTATGACCCCTCTCTCTGAGGACCTAGTTATGACCTCTCTCTGAGCACTAGTTATGGACCTCTCTCTGAGGACTAGTTATGACTTCTCTCTCTGAGACTAGTTATGACAAATCCTCTCTCTGAGTCAGAGTTATGAACTCTCCCTGAGACCTAGTTATGCTCTCTCTGAGATTCTAGTTATGACCTCCTCGTGCTGGGGACCCTAGTTATGACCTCCTCTCTATGAGGACCCTAGTTATGACCCTCTCCTAGACCCTAGTTATGGATCTCTCCACGGAGACATAGTTATGACCTCATCTCTCTGAGACCTAGTTTTATGAACTCCTCTCCTGAGGACCCTCCTAGTTATGAACTCTCCTTGTGTGAGACCTAGTTTATGACCTCTCTCTGTGGAGACCTAGGTTATGGACCCTCTCTCTGAGACTAGTTTATGACATACTACTCCACTGAGGACCTAGTTTAATGACCTATCTCTGAGGACTAGTTATGACCTCCCTCTTCTGAGACCTAGTTATGACCTCTCACTGAGACGAGTTTATACCTCTCTCTGAGACTTAAGTTATGACCTCACTATGAGGAACTAGTTTATGACCTCCTTATGAGGACCTGTTAGTTGACCTCACTATGAGACCTAGTTTATGACTACTCTCTTCTGAGGGACCTAGAGTTTAGGACCTCCTCTCTCTGAGACCTAGTTTCTTTTTCTTATTTTCTTTACCGTCTTCTACTCTGAGACTAGTTATGATCTCTCCCTGGACCCCTAGTATGGGCTATAACTTCCCCTGTTGAGACCTAGTTTATGACCTCTCTCTGAGACTAGATGTTTTATGACCTCTCTCTGAGGGACCCTAGTTTTGACCTCCATTACCTGAGGACCCGAGTTATGACCTACCTCTCTCTGAGACCCCTCCTCGGTTATGACATTCTCCTCTTGAGACTAGTATGACTCTCCCTGAGACCTAGTTATGGACTCCTCTCTCTGATGAGACCTCGTTTTTATGACATCCTCTCTCTGAACTCCTAGTTTGAACTCTCCCTGAGACCTAGTTATGGACCTCTCTCTGAGGGGACCTAGTTTATGACCCTCCTCTGCCTGGGAGACCTAGTTATTGACCTCCTCTCTCTGAGACCTAGTTTGACCTCTCTCGAGAGAACTAGTTATGATCTCTCCTGATACTAGTAGTTTTTTATGGAACTCCTCTATTGAGGAACCTAGTTTATTGAACACATTCCTCTCTCTGAGCCCTAGTAATGAACTCCAATTGAGACCTATGTTTTTATTATTATGACCTCTCTATGGAGGCTAGTTATGACCTCCTCTCCCTGATAGACCTAGTTATGAACTCTCCCTGAGACCATAGTTAGACCTCCTCTTCTATGAGACCTTCGTTTATGACCTCCTCGCTCTGAGGGACCTATTTATTAAACTCTCTTCTGAGACCTAGTTATGATCTCTCCCTGAGACCATAGTTATGACCTCCCTCTCTTGAGGACCTTGTTTATGATCCCTCTCTCTGGACCCATAGTTATGACACTCTCCCTGAGACCCACCCTAGTTTATGACCTCTCTCTGCGACCTCCAGTTATGACCTCTCTCCCTGAGACCTAGTTTAGGGACCTCTCTCCCTGAGACCTCGTATGACATCATATCTCTGAGACCTTAGTTATGACTTCTCTCTTTCTGAGACCTAGTTATGGAGATCTCTTCTGAGCCCTAGTTATGCATCCTCCTCTCTATGAGACCTGTTATGACCTTTCCTCTCCTGAGACCTAGTTATGATCTCTTCCCTTGGACCCTTAGTTATGACCTTCCTCCCCTGAGACCAGTTATGACCTCTCTCTCTGCGACCTAGTTATGAACCTCTCTCGAGACCTAGTTATGACCTTCTTCCTACCTTGAGGACCTAGTTAGTTATGACCTCCTACTCTGAGACTAGTTTAGGACATCCTCTCTCTGGAAAACCCAGTTATGATTCTCTGCCCTGCGACCTAGTTATGACCTCCTATCTCTGGAGACCTGTTATGAAACCTCCTCTCTCTTGAAACCCAGGTTAGTGATTCTCTCCCTGAGGAACCTAGTTTATTATGACTCTCCTCTGAGACAACAGTTTATTACCTCCTCTCCCTGAGGGACCTATTATGACCTCCTCTCTCTGAGACCTAGTTATGAACTCCTCTCTCTGAGACCTAGTTATGAACCTTCTCTCTTCTGAGGACGCTAGTTAATGACCTCTCTCTTGATGACCTCCTAGTTTATGAACCTTCCCTCTCTATGCGACCTAGTTATTACCTCTCCTTAGACCTAGTTATGATCTCCCTCGCGAGAACATAGTTAAGACCTCTCCCTGAGAATAGTTATGACCTCCTCTCCTGAGGACCATAGTTATGACACCTCCTCTCCTGAGACCTAGTTTATGACCTCTCTCTGAGACCTAGTTATTATGACCTCCTCTCTGGAGACCTAGTTATGACTCCTCTCTCTGAGGACATAGTTATGACCTACTCTATCTGGAGACCAGTAGTTATGACACCCTCTATGAGACCTAGTTATGACCTCATCCCTGAGACTATTATGACCACCTCTCTCTGAGAACTAGTATGATCTCTCCCCTGAGGACCTAACACTGATGACTCTCTCCCTGAGAACCAGTTATGATTCTCTCTCTTGAGACCTTCGTTATGACCTCTATTAGACCATAGATAGGACCTGCTCTCTCCTGATGATAACCATGTTATGACCATCGCTCTGAGACCCCCAGTTTTATGACTCCTTCTCTGAGACCTAGTTATGACCTCTCTCTGAGACCTGGTTATGATCTCTCCCTGAGGACCTAGTTATGACCTCCTCTCTCTGAGACCTAGTTATGACATCCTCTCTCTGAGACATAGTTTATGAACTTCCTTGAGAACTGTTTAGTTATGACCTCCTCTCCCTGGACCTTTAGTTAGGACCTCTCTCTGAGGACCGATAGTTATGTGATTCTCCTGAGACCCTAGTTATGGAACACTCTCTCTGAGACCTAGTTATGACATTCCTCTATCTGAGACCCTAGTTATGAACTCTCTTGAGACCCTAGTTTCTGGACCTCCTCTCTATGGGAGACTAGTTATGACCTCTCTCTGAGCGACCTAGTTTATGACCCCTCCCCTCTCTCTGAGACTTAGTATGACCCTCTCCCTGGGACCTAGTTAGTAACCTCTCTCTGAGGAATAAGTTTAGTATAAACCTCCTCTCTCTTGAGACATAGGTATGACTCCTTCCTCTCCCTATGAGACATAGTTATGACCTCTCTCTGAGACCCTACAAGTTTTATGGACCTCCCTCTCCCTGAGGACCTAGTTATGACCACCTCTCCTGAGACCTAGTTATGACCCTCCTCTCTCTGAGGGACGAGTTATGACTCTCCACTGAGAACCCAGTTTTATGATTCTCTCTGTGAGAACTATAGTATGAACCTCTCTCTGAGACCCTAGTTATGACCTCTCCTGAGACTAGTTATGAATCTACTCTCATGGAGACCTAGTTTATGAAAACCTTCCCTGAGACCCTAGTTATAACTTCTCCTTCTATGAGAACTAGTTATGATCTCTCCATGAGACCTACTTATGACCCTCCTCTCCCTAGAGACCATTATGATCTCTCTCTGAGGACCCTATTTATTGACCTCTCTTTGACCTTAGTTATGACCTGCTCCTCTTGAGACTAGTTATGACCTACTCCCTTGCAGGACCTAGTTATCGACCTCGACCTGAGACCTAGTTAATAACCTCCTCTTCTGAGGAACTCTAGGTTATGACCTCTCTCTGAGGGACCCTAGTATGACCTCTTATCTCGAGACCTCGTTTTGGGACCTCTCTCTGAGGGACACCCTAGTTATGACACTCTTCTGAGACCTCGTTTATGACATCCTCTTCTCTGATGAGGGACCTAGTTTATGACATTCCTCTTCTTGAGTCCTGTTATGAACTCTCCTGAGGGACTAGTTAATGGACCTCCTCTGAGATATAGCTTAATGAACTCCTCTTCCTGAGACCTAGTTATGACCTCCTTCTCTGAGACCAGTTATGACCTCTCTCTGAGACCTTAGTTATGATCTTCCCTGAGGACCCTAGTAGTTATGAACCTCCTCCTCTCTGAGAACCTAGTTATGACCTCATCCTCTCTGAGACTCGTTATGAACTCTCCTTGAGAGAACCCTAGTTATGGACCTCTCTCTGAGGACCTCCTAGTTATGACCTCTCTCTGAGACCTAGTTATGACATCCTCTCCCCTGAGGACCTAGTTATGACTTCTCTCTGAGCGACCCTAGTTATGAACTCACCTTCTCTCTGAGACCTAGTGTATGCTTCTCCCTGAGACTAGTTTTTATTTAACCTCTCTCGAGACCTAGTTATAACACCTCTCTTGAGATCTTGTTATGCCCTCAATCTGAGACCTAGTTATGAACCTCTCTATGGAGACCCTAGTTATGACCTCACTCGGAGACATAGTTATGGACATCCTCTCTTGAGACCTAGTTATGGACCTTCTTCTCTCGAGACTAGTTCTGATCTATCCTGGGACATAGTTATGTGATTGAACTATCACTGAGACTAGTTATGATCTCCTCTCTCTGGAGACTAGTTATCTATGAACCTCTCTCTGGACTAGTTATGACCTCCTCTCCCTGAGGACATAGTTATGACCTCTCTATCTGAGGACATAGTTATGACATCCTCTCTCTGAGACTAGTTATGAAACTCTCCCTGAGACCTAGTTATGACTCCTCTCTGAGACATAGTTATGACAATCCTTCTCTTGAGACCTAGTTATGAACTCTCCCCTGAGACATAGTTATGACCTTCTCTGAGGACCCTAGTTATGAATCCTCTCCTGAGCCTAGTTAGGACCTCTCTCCCGGACCTAGTTTATGAAACTCCTGAACCTATTATGACTCCTCTCTCTGAGGGAACCTCTTTATTGAACTCTCTCTGGACCTAGTTATGATCTCTCCGGAGGAGACCTAGTTATGACCTCCTCTCTCTGAGACCTAGTTATGACCTCTCCCTGAGGACCCTAGTTATAACCTTCCTCTCTTTGGACCTAGTTAGGTACCTCGTCTGAGGGACCTAGTTATGACTCCTCTCTCTGAGACCTAGTTTATGACCTCTCTCTGAGACTAGTGATGACCTCTCTCTGAGACTCTAGTTATGACCTCTCTCCTGAGACTAGTTTAGTTAGTTTATGAATCCTCTCTCTGAGTCTAGTTATGAACTCTCCCCTGAGACCGAGTATGAACTCTCTCGGAGATTCTAGTTATGAACCTCCTCTTCCTGAGGACCTAGTTATGACTCATCTCTCTGAGAGACCTAGTTATGACCTCTCTCTGAGACCTAGTTAATTCTCTTCCTGAGACCTGTTATGACCTCCTCTCTCTGAGGGACCCTAGTAGAAACCTCCTCTCTTGAGGACCTAGTTCTTTGAACTCTCTTGAGACCTAGTTATGACCTCTCATGAGACATAGTGGTATGACCTATCTCTGAGACCTAGTTATGGACACATCCTCTCCCGAGGACCTTCCTAGTTATGACCTCTCTCTGAGACCTAGTTATGACCCTCCTCTATATGAGACCTCCTAGTTATGGACCCTCTCCCTGAGAACCTAGTTATAATTCTCTGAGGGACCTAGTATTAACCACACCTCTTCTGGGATCGTGTTATTCTGACCTCAATAGAGACCTAGTTTATGACCTCTCTCATGAGACCTAGTTATAGTTATGACCTCACTCTGAGACCTATAGTTAGAAACCTCCTATCTCGGTTTTACCTAGTTTATGGACATTCTCTCTCGGAGACCTAGTATGGATTTCTTCCCTGAGCTTAGTTATGAACCTATCCCTGAGACTAGGGGGGTTATGATCTCCTATCTCGAGCTAGTATGACCTCTCTCTGAGGACTAGTTTCTTTTATGACCTCCTCTCCCTGATGATGACTAGTTTATGACCTCCTCTCTATGAGACCCTTCTAGTTAGACATCATCTTCTCTGAGACCTAGTATGAAACTCTCCCTGAGACCTAGTTATGACTCCTCTCTCTGAGACCTAGTTAGTTTTATTGACATTCCTCTCTCTGAGGACCTAGTAGGAACTCTCCTGAGACCTAGTTATGGAACCCTCTCTCTTGAGAACCTAGTTTTAGACATCCCTCTTCTGAGACTAGTTATGACCTCCTTCCCTGAGACCGGTAGTTTCTGAAACTCTCCCATGATGAGACCTAGTTATGACCTTCCTTCTCTCTGAGGGACCTATTTATGAAACTCTCTCTGCAGACCTAGTTATGATATCTCCCTGGAGACCAGTTAGGGACTACCTCTCTATGAGACTAGTTATGACATACTCTCTCTGAGACTAGTTATGAATCTCGGAGGACATAGTTATGACCTCTATCTGAGGGTACCTCGTTATGACCTCCTCTCCCTGAGACCTAGTATGACCCTCCTCTACCCTGGAGACTAGTTATGAAACTCTCCCTGAGACTAGTTATGACCTACCTCTCTCTGAGGACCTAGTGATAAAACTCCTCTCTCTGAGACCTAGTTATGACCTCTCTCTGAGACCTAGTTATGATCTCTCTCTGAGACCTAGTTATGACCTCCTCTCTCTGAGACCTAGTTATGACCTCCTCTCTCTGAGACCTAGTTATGACCTCTCTCTGAGACCTCCCTAGAGTTTATGATTCTCTCCCTGAGACCCGCCTAGTTATGACCTCCTCTCTCTGAGACCTAGTTATGACATCTCTCTCTCTGAACGAGGTTATGAACTCTCCCCTGAGACCTATGTTATGGACCTCTCTCTGGAGACCTAGTTAGACACCTCTCTCCATGAGACCTAGTGTATGACCTCCTATCTCTGAGACCTAGTTATGAAGTGCCCTCTTCCCTGAGAACTAGTTATGACCTCTTCTGAGGACCTAGTTATGGACCTCCTCTCCCTGAGACCTAGTTTCTGGCATTCCTCTCTCTGAGACCTAGTTATGGAACCTCCTCTTTCTGAGACTAGTGATTATGACTTCTCTCTCTGTGAGGCCTAGTTAATGACCTCTCTCTGAGACCTAGTTATGCCCTCCTCTCTATGGACTAGTTATGACCTCTCCCTTAGACCTAGTTCTGATCTCCTCTCTCTGAGACATAGTTGTTATGGACTCTCTTTTTCCTGAGACCTAGTTAGTTATGACCTCCTCTCTCGAGACCTAGTTGGAGAATCACTCTCTATGAGACTAGTTATGAACTTCTCCATGTGAGACCTAGTTATTTTATGAACCTCTCTCTGAGACATAGTTATACCTCCTCTTTCATGAGCACCTAGTTATGAACCTCCTCTCTCTGAGACCTCCCTCGTAGTTATGGGACCTCCATCTCACTGAGGACCAGTTATGAACTCTCCCTGAGACTAGTCTATGACCTCCTCTCTCTGAGACCTATTATGAAATCTCTCTGAGACTAGTTATGATCTCTCCTGGACCTAATAGTTATGACTACTCTATGTGAGACCTAGTATGACATCATCTCTCTGGACATAGTTATGGTGAACTTCCCTGAGACCAGTTATTGACCCTCTCTCTGAGACCTATTATTTATGACTCCTCTCCCTGAGACTGTTATGACCTACTCTCCCTGAGGAACCGAAGTAGTATGAACTCTCCTGAAGACCAGTTTTTAGGAACCTCCTCTCTCTGAGACTAGTTATGACCTCCCTATCTCTGAGACCTAGTTAGGACTAATCTCTTTGGAGGGACCTAGTTATGATCTTCTCCCTGAGACCTAGTTATGACCTCTCTCCCTGAGAACTAGTTATGACCTCCTATCTCTGAGACCTAGTTTTATGACTGCCTCTCCCTAGGACCTAGTTATGACCTCTCTATGAGACCTAGTTATGACCTCTCTCCCTGAGACCTAGTTCTGCCTCATCTCTTGAGGACCTAGTTTGGACATCCTCTCTTATGAGACCCTACGTTATGACCTTCTCTCTCTGAGACCTAGTAATGACCTCTCTTGAGACTAGTTATGACCTCTCCTCTGAGGACTAGTTTTATGAACCTCTCCCTTAGACCTAGTTATGAATCTCACTCTACTATGATACCTAGTTATGACCTCGCCTGAGACTAGTTTATGACCTCATCTCTCTGAGACACTAGTTGATGGACATCCTCTCTCTGGGACCCGAGTTATGACTCTCCCTGAGACATCGTTATGACCCTCTCTCTGAGGACCTAGTTATGACCTCCTCTTCCTGAGACCTAGTTATGGACCTCATCTCCTCTGAGAGCCCTAGTTATGACCTCCTCTACCTGAGACCTAGTTATGTTGAAAAAACTCTCCCCTGAGACTAGTTATGACCTCCTCTCTTGGGACCATTTATGAACTCTCTCTGAGACCTAGTTATGATTCTCTCCCTGCGATCCCTAGTTATGGAACTCCTCTCTCTGAGACCTGTTAGAATCCTATATCTGAGAGCCTAGTTATGCACTACTCCCTTTCCTGGGACCTAGTTTATGGACCTTCTCTTGAGAGAGCTTAAGTTATGACCATCCTCTCCTGAGGACCCTAGTTTTGACACTCCTCTCCCCTGAGGACTAGTTATGAACTCTCCTGATGCGGAAACAGTTATGGGACTCTCTCCTGAGGACATAGTTAGTTATGACTCCTCTCTACTGGACCTAGTTCTGACCCGCCTCTGCGGACCAAGTTATATGATTCGTCCTCCATGCCTGGGGGACTCGTTTATGACCTCCTCTCTCCTGAGGACCTAGTTTATGACCTCTCCCTGAGAGACCCTTAGTTATGATCTCCTCTCTCTGAGACCTAGTTATGATCCTCTCCCTGGAGACCCCTAGTTATGATCTCGCTCTCTCTGAGGACCTAGTTTTATGAACCTCTTCCCTGAGACCTAATTTATGGCCACCTTCTCTAGAACTAGTTATGGATCTCCCATGGGAGAACCCTAATTTATGACCTCCTCTCCTGGACCTAGTTTTATGATATCTCTATCTGAGACCTAGTTATGTACCTCCCTCTCCCTGAGACCTAAGTTATGAAACCTCATCTCTCTGAAGACCTAGTTTTATGACCTCCTCTCTCTAGACCTAGTTAGACATTCCCTCTCTCTAGGGACTAGTTATGACCTCCCCTGAGGACCTAGTTATGACCCTCCCCTCCTATTCTGAGACCTAGTTTTTATAACCTACTCTCTCTGAAGGACCTGTTATGACCTCCTCTCTCTGGAGGGACCATAGTTATGACCTCTCCTCCCTTGCAAGGACTAAGTTCATGACCGCTATCGGAGGACCTAGGCTAGTTTGACCTCCTCCTCTAGGGACCTAGTTATGACCTCTCTCTCTGAACCAGTTATGACCTTCCTCTTCTGGGACCTAGTTATGACATCTCTCTATGCGAACCTAGTAGTTATGACCTCTCTTGAGTGACACCCCATAGTTATGATCTCGCCCTGAGACCTCCTAGTTATGTGTGACCCCTCCTCTCCTCTGAGACTAGTTATGACCTTCTCTGAGACCTAGTTATGTCTCCTCTCTTGAGACCATAGTGTTTATGACATCTATCCCTGAGGACCCCTCGTTTATGACTCTCCCTGAGACAGAGTTATGATCTCTCTCTCTGAGACCTAGTTATATGATCTCTCTTGAGGACCTTAGTTATGACTCCCTCTCATCTGAGACCTAGTAGTTTTTATGACCTGGCTCTCTCTGAGACCTAGTTATGACCTCATCTCTGGAGACCTAGTTCTGACTCCTCCTCTGAGACATAGTTTATGACCCCTCTCTCTGAGACTAGTTCTGGACCTCTCTCTGAGCACCCTAGTTATGATCTATCCCTGAGGACCTAGTATGACCTCCTATCCCTGAGACCTAGTATGGACCTCCGCTCTCTGGACCCTAGTTATGACCACTCCTCTCTCTGAGGGACCGTAGTTTGACCTCCTCTCTCTGAGGACCTCGTTATGACCACTCTCCCTGTAGACCTAGTTATGACTCTCCTCTCTCTGAGGGACCTAGTTATAACCTATCCTCTTGAGGACCTAGTTATGACTCCTCCTATGAGACCTTAGTAGTGTTATGCCTCTCTCCCTGAGACCAGTTATGACCCTCTTCTGAGACCTCGTTATGAACTCCCTCTCTATGGAGACCTATTATGACATCCTCTCTCTGAGACCTAGTTATGAACCTCCTCTCTCGAGACCTAGTTAGACCTACTCTCTCTGAGACATAGTTTTTTGAGGTTATGACCTCCTCTCTCTGAGACTAGTTATGGACTTTCCTCTATCTGAGGACATAGTTATGAAACTCCTCTCTCTGAGACCTAGTTATGATCTCTCCCTGTGAGAACCTGGAGTTATGACCATATCTCCCTGAGGACTTAGTTTAGTTATGATTCTCCTATCTCTGAGGACCTCGTTAATGAATCTCTCCTCTCTGAGACCTAGTTATGACCTTCCCTCCTCTGAGACCAGTTATGACCTAGCTCTCTGGAGACCCTAGCTTATGACCCTCTCTCTGAGGACATTAGTTATTTGACCTCCTCTCTCTGAGACTAGTTATGGACCTCCTCTCTATGAGGAAACTATTAAAATTTTGACCTCTCTCTGAGACCTAGTTTATGATCTCGCCCTGAGACCTAGTTTATGACCTCCTCTCCATGAGACACCTGTTATGGACCTCCTCTCTCTGAGGACCTAGTTATGCCCCTCCTCGCTATGAGGGGACCTAGTTATGACTCTCGTGAGACCTAGTTAGGACTCCTCTCTCTGAGACCTAGTTTATGACAGCCCTCTCCTGAGGACCTAGTTATGGACCTCCTATCCCTGGAGACCTAGTTATGACCTCTCCACTGACCACCAGAGTTAAGTTATGACCTCCTTCTATTCTGAGACCTTAGTATGACCCTCCTCCTCTCCCTGAGACCTAGTTATGAACCTCCATCTCTGAGACCTAGTTTAGGACCTCCTCTCCTGAGACCCTAGTTATGACTCCTCTCTCTTGAGACCTAGTTATGAACCTCGACCTGAGACCTTAGTTATGACCTTCTCTCTCTGAGACTAGTTAGTTATAACCTTCCTCCTCTTGAGACCACAGTTATGACCTCCTCTCTCTGAGACTAGTTATTCTGGACCTCCCTCTTCCTGAGACCCTAGTTATTATGACCTCTCTCTGAGACCTAGTTATGACCCCTCCTCTCTATGAGACCCTAGTTATGGGACCTCATCTCTCTGAGACCGAATAGTTATGAACCTCCTCTCTCTGAGACCTAGTTAATGACCTCCTCTCTCTGGAAGACCTAGTTCTGACCTCTTCCTCTTCTGAGACCTAGTTATTATGGACCTCCTCTCTATGAGACCCTTAGTTATTAGACCTCCTCTCTCTGAGACCTAGTTTATGATCTATCCCTGAGACCTTTCGTTTCACCTAGTTCTGACCTCCCTTTACTGAGGACAACCTAGTAGTATGACCTACTCTCCTGAAGAACCTCGTTAGGACCCATCTCTCTGAGACCTCGGTTATGACCTCCTCTCTCTGAGACTAGTTATGACCTCCTCTCTCTTGTGAGACCTCCTAGTTATGGGATCTCTCCCTGAGGGGGACCTAGTTATGACCTCCTCTCTCTGAGACCTAGTTTATGACACCTCCCTTCCCTCTCTCTGAGCCCTTAGTTATGACACTCCCGTCTTGAGACCTAGTTATGACTCTCTCTCTGAGACCTAGTTAGGACCTCTCTCGCTGAGACCCCTAGTTATGATCTCTCCCTGAGACCTAGTTATGACCTCCTCTCCCTGAGACCTAGTTATGATCTCTCTCTCTGAGACCTAGTTATGATCTCTTCTCTCTGAGACCTAGTTATGACCTCTCTCTCTTGAGACCTAGTTATGACCTCTCTCTCTGAGACCTAGTTATGACCTCCTCCTCCTGAGACCTAGTTATGACCTCCTCTCTCTGAGACCTAGTTATGACCTCCTCTCTCTGAGACCTAGTTATGACCTCTCTCTGAGACCTAGTTATGACCTCCTCTCCCTGAGACCTAGTTATGACCTCCCTTCCCTGAGACCTAGTTATGACCTCCTCTCTCTGAGACCTAGTTATGACCTCCTCTCTCTGAGACCTAGTTATGACCTCCTCTCCCTGAGACCTAGTTATGACCTCCTCTCTCTGAGACCTAGTTATGACCTCCTCTCCCTGAGACCTAGTTATGTGGGAGCACCTGCTGTACTGTATGTTGACCCATATATTTCACATTGGATTGCATCCCAAATGGCACCCTAATCCCTACATAGTACACTACTTTTGAACAGATAAAACAGAAAGAGGAACTACATGTTAATTTGTCCTATTTTCCCATTAACTGTTGAAGAGCGTTTTCAAGTGTTGTTACTGACAGTGTTACTGTGTCCACATTGCATGCTTTTCTTCAGAAACCAAGTATTTTAATGTTTTTTGGAAGTATGTGATACATTAAACCTGCCATCTTTTTTATAATGAAACATTTGAACGGATCTTATTACTTTTACAGCCTTGGTTGGGTTGGGGGCGGCAGGTAGCTTAGTGGTTAAGAGCGTTGTGCCAGTAACCGAAAGGTCGCTGGTTCTAATCCCCGAGCCGACTAGGTGAAAAATCTGTCGATGTGCCCTTGAGCAAGGCACTTAACCCTAATTGCTCCTGTAAGTCGCTCTGGATAATGAGCGTCCGCTAAATGACTAAAATGTAAATGTATTGAAAACTGAAATGGAGAAAGCTGCGTGTAGTTCCCAGAGGCATATTGGTCCATTTCCTTTTAGGCCGAGGCTGCGGATCTATAGCTCCGCCCCAGCCCCGCCCCAGCCCCGCCCCCCTGTATCATGTTCTGCATGTGTTTCTTTAGCTCTACTTTACACACATTGTAACGGTCACCCTCTCTTCACTATCTCTGACTATCAATTGTGAATCATCAAGGCTAATTCTTCAAGTTTTACCGGTGAAACACCCATGCAGCATCTGCATACCATTTGATCTCAATCAGTTCCATTTAGATCTTCTTAGCAGGGAAGTGTTTTGGGCACTGGCCAGCCAGGCTAGTAGATTGCAATTTTAAATCTGTGCCAATGCGATATTTGAAAATGCATTATTTCACTAGCCGGCGGGCTAATTGGACACATTTTTCTATTACTAGCTCGGGTCCAAAAATCTGTGCCCATGCAATATTTGAAAAGACAAAATGTCACTACACCGGTCTGAAAAGTACTAGCCATGGGCTAGCTTAATTTTCCATCGCTGCTTCTTAGTTATGTACAGTGTTGTTTCGTATTACGTACAGCTAGCGAATTTTAGAGTAGATGGTGTTAATAAACTGTAGCATACCTGTGTTTTGTTTTCAATCAAAGCACATATTTTGCCTAGTGGCTGTTGACTTGTGTCCACATGAAAGAAAAACGCACCATCATCCTAAAATCTCATAAGAAATTAGGAGGTGTATTTTGTCTTACAGTAACATTATACTATATTATATTAACATTATACTATGCTATTATACTTGGTTCTGTTAGGTACAATCCGTCACTATCATAATGTGACCTTGCAGACATTGTTTCAGATTTAACTCTCTTTTAAAGCCCCATGCCGTCTTTTTAAATTGTATTTTTAAATCATCACTGTATGTCTAATAAATCACTGTGTGTGTTTATTTCATGAAAATAACGGCAAATATATTTTTTTATCATTTATTTCCCTGAGCTTCCTTTTGCCATTGAAATGTTCAATCTAAACGTGTGGGCGTGTCGATACAAATTTAAATACATTTACATACACAGCCCCGTCTAGAAGTAGGCTCTAGTTTCCCTCCAACCCTGTTCCTGGAGAGCTACCTTCCTGTATGTTTTCGCTCCAACCCTAATCTAGCACACCTGATTCTTATAAATTAGCAAGTTGATAAGATTAATCAGGTTGGTTACAACTGGGTTTGGAGCGAAAACCTACAGGACGGTAGCTCTCCAGGAACAGGGTTGGAGGGAACCCACAGGAGGGTAGCTCTCCAGGAACAGGGTTGGAGGGAACCCACAGGAGGGTAGCTCTCCAGGAACAGGGTTGGAGGGAACCCACAGGAGGGTAGCTCTCCAGGAACAGGGTTGCAGGGAACCTACAGGAGGATAGCTCTCCAGGAACAGGGTTGCAGGGAACCTACAGGAGGGTAGCTCTCCAGGAACAGGGTTGGAGGGAACCTACAGGAGGGTAGCTCTCCAGGAACAGGGTTGGAGGGAACCCACAGGAGGGTAGCTCTCCAGGAACAGGGTTGGAGGGAACCCACAGGAGGGTAGCTCTCCAGGAACAGGGTTGCAGGGAACCTACAGGAGGATAGCTCTCCAGGAACAGGGTTGCAGGGAACCTACAGGAGGGTAGCTCTCCAGGAACGGGGTTGCAGGGAACCTACAGGAGGGTAGCTCTCCAGGAACGGGGTTGCAGGGAACCTACAGGAGGGTAGCTCTCCAGGAACAGGGTTGGAGAACCCTGCTCTAGAGCCTAACTCGCTTACCCCTTCAAAGTAGTAGGACACATATGCAAATAAAAGATGACTGGTCATTGGTCAGAATAATCAGATCAGATTGTGATGTCATGAGCTGGGCCAAAAAACTCCATCCCACCTGAACAGTCAGAAATTCCAGGCATTTTTTTTCTCCAAACAGCTCTTATTCAAAAAGGGCATTATCATTAATTTCAGAGTGTTATTTCAAACTCATAATGTGGAAATATCAACCAAAAAACATGAAATTACATTTTTAACCGCACTTCCCCTTTAAGGAAGTGGCCTTTTCTCTACAAGTAGAGACTGTATGAATCCCACACATGTGCAGAAGCTTCGGGACCTTTAGCCCCTGGGTGGAAAGGTCCAGTAAAAGTCGGATCCGCAGCAACTCCATTGCTTAAAAAATTGCTTATTTTTCAGGTCCTGAAACTAGTCTGTTCCTTGTCTACTTCTCTGGGATCATTGTAGTTTTCGTCTTTCAGTCTAAATCAGTCATTCTCGAACTGTCGGTCGATGTTGATCATTTGGAAAGGGGAAATAGAGTAGGCTATCAATGTTCGATCAGGGGATAATTAATCATGGCACAATATAAAATGTTTGCAATCCTGTCTGCCATCTTCATTGATTGGGTGACATTAGTAAACAGGTTTGCTCTCACGTTCAGAGAAAGGTCCCGTGATATCTTACACTTTGGGCACGTTTGAGTGGTAAGGCGAAAGCAACCAACTGTAGACTAAAGTCGAGGAGTGAAATCGGGAGAGGTGCATCTGCGACAGCCGAAAGTCAGACACCGATGTGGTTTTCCAACAGCAAGGCTCTGATTTGTTTCTTGTGCAGGCTGCACACACTTCATCAGTCTCTCATTCACAATTCGACAAGCATTTGATAATATTCTCACCAGGCCTCTAATTTCCCAACGGCATCCACCTTGTGTGGCCGTAATGCCCCCTAAAAAGTCCATGCCTTTTTGCGGCCAAAGTGTCCGTTGTGCCCCTTGGGCTGAATATAATAATTATAATTCCCTTCTCCCTGCTGCAATTCATTCCAAAGCACCTCTCACTCACGTGGCTCTCTCAGATATCTCAATTCGTATTAGCCAATTTCCCGTCATGTGATCGGGTCCTTCTCACAGCTAAGGAGTAGGCTACAAGCGAAGACTGACCCATCAACTGCGCCCGTCTTCTTCTTCCTCTTATTGAATTCAGACGTTAGAACTGTCCACGCCTACTTTTCGTCAGCCAACCAGATGAGTCGGCCTAACGAACAGTAAAAGCACTAGCCAATCTACTGTCCCCCATAGTACAATAAATAAATATTCCAAACATACGCTGGGACAGTTGTGGGATGACAGCAGAGGGAGAACGCCCCCTATCCACATCGACGGGACCGCAGTAGAAAAGGTGAAAAGCTTCAAGTACCTCGGCGTACACATCACTGACAATCTGAAATGGTCCACCCCACGCAGACAGTGTGGTGAAGAAGGCGCAACAGCGCCTCTTCAACCTCAGGAGGCTGAAGACATTTGGCTTTGCCCCCAAGACCCTCACAAACCTTTACAGATGCACCATTGAGAGCATCCTGTCGGGCTGTATCACCGCCTGGTACGGCAACTGCACCGTCCGCAACCGCAGGGCTCTCCAGAGGGTGGTGCGGTCTGCCCAACTCATCACCGGGGGCACACTGCCTGTCCTCCAGGACATTAACAGTACCCGGTGTCACAGGAAGGCCAAGAAGATAATCAAGGACCTCAGCCACCCGAGCCACGGCCTGTTCATCCCGCTATCATCCAGAAGGCGAGGTCAGTACAGGTGCATCAAAGGTGGGACCGAGAGACTGAAAAACAGCTTCTATCTCAAGGCCATTAGACTGATAAATAGCCATCACCAGCCATTACTCAACCCTGCACCTTAGTGGATGCTGCCCTATGTACAGTACATACAGTGCATTCGGAAGGTATTCAGACCCCTTGACTTTTTCCACATATCAATCTACACACAATACCCCATAATGACAAAACAAAAACAGGTTTTTAGAAATTTTTGCAAATTTATAAAAAGCAAAAAAACTGAAATATAACATTTACATAAGTATTCAGACACTTTACTCAGTACTTTGTTGAAGCACCTTTGACAGCAATTACAGCCTCGAGTCTTCTTGGGTATGACGCTACAAGCTTGGCACACCTGTAGTTGGGAGCAGGTTTTCATCAAGGATCTCTCTGTACTTTGCTCCGTTCATCTTTCCCTCGATCCTGACTAGTCTCCCAGTCCCTTCTGCTGAAAAACATCCACACACCATGATGCTGCCACCACCATGCTTCACCATAGGGATGGTGCCAGGTTTCCTCCATATGTGACGCTTGGCATTCAGGCCAAAGAGTTCAATCTTGGTTTCATCAGACCAGAGAATCTTGTTTCTCATGGTCTGAGAGTCCTTTATGTGCCTTTAAGCAAACTCCAAGCGGGCAGTCATGGATATTTTACTGAGGAGTGGCTTCCGTCTGGCCATTCTACCATAAAGGCCTGATTGGTGGAGTGCTGCAGAGATGGTTGTCCTACTGGAAGGTTCTCCCATCTCCACAGAGGAACTCTGGAGCTCTGTCAAGAGTGACCATCGGGTTCTTGGTCACCTCCCTGACCAAGGCCCTTCTCCCCCGATTGCTCAGTTTGGCCGGGCGGCCAGCTCTAGGAAGAGTCTTGGTGGTTCCAAACTTCTTTCATTTAAGAATGATGGAGGCCACTGTGTTCTTGGGGACCTTCAATCAATTGAATTTACCACAGGTGGACTCCAATCAAGGTTTAATGTATTCAGTTGTGCAACTGATTAGGTACCTCCTTTCCCTTTTACCATCTCTTTTGCAGCGGAAGCGATGGACCAGGAAACGCTCGTGCTTTTGGACGACTCGACTAGAGCCTGAAGTTAAAGAAGAACATAAAAGCAGTGAGTATTCTGTAAACGCCACCTTCTTTATACACAAGGGGAGGTCCTCGGGACACACACATGAATACACAGGACTGTGGACACACCAAGCTTGAGCAGTAGCCGTGTCTTGCCAGGTACATGTTGAAAGATTTGTTGTGTATTTTGAAAACTGATTGTTGAAAGGAATTTATAATTAATTGAAGACTTTGTGCTCACAACAGAGTCAAATGTGAGAGGGAAGCCCAGATGACCGAGTGGCTGAACAACATCTGGCCGGAAAACCAGGTTGAGGAGTACATGAAGGAGACCTCGATCCAGAGGGCTCAGTGGACCAGACAGAATGGGACCAGGTTGAGGAGTACATGAAGGAGACCTCGATCCAGAGGGCTCAGAGGACCAGACAGAATTGGGCCAGGTTGAGGAGTACATGAAGGAGACCTCGATCCAGAGGGCTCAGAGGACCAGACAGAATTGGGCCAAGACAGTAGAGATAGAGAGTATCCGCGTCTGCTGGATACTCCAGGCATGGTTTTATAAAAACATTAGACCTGAATTTGATTCTGTTTACTGTGATTAACTAGCCTGGCTAAATGACCCACGTGACTCAAAGCGCAGGGAGAACATTGACCATACTGGTCTGGAAAGGAGGCTGTTTGTTAATGCAACATTCACTAATAAATTGTGCGACGGGGTTTGATTTGTTCTCTCAAAATGTTATTTTTTTTCTCAAGGTTGAAACCTCTAATTGTTTGGATTTGAAAATCCAACCATTGTAGTAGAAGGGTGGGGCTGTGGGTGGCTGTGGGTGGCTGTGGGTGGTTAAGTGAGAAAGTAAAAGCGCAGCCCTCTTCATTACCGATGCGTTGAGCCGACAACATCAAAGAGCCATTCCAGATTCTGAAATTTACATTTAACATTTAAGTCATTTAGCAGACGCTATTATCCAGAGCAACTTACAAATTTGGTGCATTCAACTTAGGATAGCCAGTGGGACAACCACTTTTTTTTATGGTGGGGGAGGGGGGGTAGAAGGATTACTTTTATACTATTCCAGGTATTCCTTAAAGAGGTAGGGTTTCAAGTGTCTCCGGAAGGTGGTCAGTGACTCCGCTGTCCTGGCGTCGTGGGGGAGCTTGTTCCACCATTGGGGTGCCAGAGCAGCAAATAGCTTTGACTGGGCTGAGCGGGAACTGTGCTTCCGTAAAGGTAGGGGAGCTAGCAGGCCAGAGGTGGATGAACGTAGTGCCCTCGTTTGGGTGTAGGATCAGAGCCTGAAGGTAAGGAGGTGCCGTTCCCCTCACAGCTCCATAGGCAAGCACCATGGTCTTGTAGTAGATGCGAGCCTCAACTGGAAGCCAGTGGAGTGTGCGGAGGAGCGGGGTGACGTGAGAGAACTTGGGAAGGTTGAACACCAAACCGGTGTAATGTGTGCTCTCCGTCTGGTCTTGGTCAGTACCCGTGCTGCAGCATTCTGTATGTTTTGCAGTTGACCAATGGCTTTCTTGGGTAGACCAGACAGGAGAGCATTACAGTAGTCAAGCCTGCTTGTAATAAAAGCATGGATGAGTCTCTCTGTATCAGCCTGAGAGAGAAACGGACTCACCTTGGCAATGTACCTCAGGTGGTAAAAAGCTATTTTGGTCACATTCCTAATGTGTGATTCGAAATTGAGTTCTGAATCTAAAATAACACCTGGGTTTTTACCTGGTGTTTTATCTTTATTGCCTGTGTATGAAAATGTGCGGCCAGATTCTCTCTCTGTGCTTTGGCTCCAACAGTAAGTACAGTGGCTTGCGAAAGTATTCACCCCCCTTGGCATTTTTCCTATTTTGTTGCCTTACAACCTGGAATTAAAATGGATTTTTTGGGGAGGTTGTATCATTTGATTTACACAACATGCCTACCACTTTTTATTGTGAAACAAACAAGAAATAAGACAAGAAAACAGAAAACTTGAGCATGCTGTGGCAGATCAGGGTGTTGGGTCAAGACGTTTACACAGATCAGACACGGACAGAGTGTGATCAGCTCGGTTTCAAGGGTGTTTATTAATAAAATAATCAAAAGAAAAGGTTAGGTCTCCCCCATGGGACCCTCTCCAGGATACCGTCTCCAACTACATGGAAGTTACCAACCTTCCCCCAGTCCTCCCTCATGTGCTGCCCTTCTGGTAGCTTGTTACCTTACTTCCCCCAGACCTCCCCCATGTGCTGCCCTTCTGGTAGCTTGTTACCTTATTTCCCCCAGTCCTCCCCCATGTGCTGCCCTTCTGGTAGCTTGTTACCTTATTTCCCCCAGTCCTCCCTCATGTGCTGCCCTTCTGGTAGCGTGTTACCTTATTTCCCCCAGTCCTCCCTCATGTGCTGCCCTTCTGGTAGCTTGTTACCTTATTTACCCCAGTCCTCCCTCATGTGCTGCCCTTCTGGTAGCTTGTTACCTTATTTCCCCCAGTCCTCCCTCATGTGCTGCCCTTCTGGTAGCTTCTTACCTTATTTCCCCCAGTCCTCCCTCATGTGCTGCCCTTCTGGTAGCTTGTTACCTTATTTCCCCCAGTCCTCCCCCATGTGCTGCCCTTCTGGCAGCTTTATGGGCCTTGCACAGCTGGTGAGCAATCCGCCCTTAATTACCCCCCAGCTCCCAATCAGCCCCAGTTAGTCCTGTCCGGGGAGCCCGGCGAGACCTGGCACGTCCAGCAGATGGAGCCACCGCCTCCTGATGTATCCTCCATCTGTTACCAGGCCTCAACGAGTCTCCCCCTGGTGGCTGACCTGCTGTACACCACAGTGCATAACTATTCACCCCCCCCCCAAAGTCAATACTTTGTAGAGCCACCTTTTGCAGCAATTACATCTGCAAGTCTCTTCAGGTATGTCTCTATAAGCTTGGCACATGTAGCCACTGGGATTTGTGCCCATTCTTCAAGGAAAAACTGCTCCAGCTCCTTCATGTTGGATGGGTTCCGCTGGTGTACAGCAATCTTTTAAGTCATACCACAGATTCTCAATTGGATTGAGGTCGTGGCCATTCCAAGATATTTAAATGTTTCCCCTTAAACCACTCAAGTGTTGCTTTAGCAGTATGCTTAGGGTCATTGTCCTGCTAGAAGGTGAACCTCTGTCCCAGTCACAAATCTCTGGAAGTCTGAAACAGGTTTCCCTCAAGAATTTCCTTGTATTTAGCGCCCTCCATCATTCCTTCAATTCTGACCAGTTTCCCAGTCCCTGCCGATGAAAAACATCCCCACAGCATGATGCTGCCACCACCATGCTTCACTGTGGGGATTGTGTTCTCTGGGTGATGAGAGGTGTTGGGTTTGGGCCAGACATAGCACTTTCCTTGATGGCCAAAAAGCTCAATTTTAGTCTCATCTGACCAGAGTACCTTCTTCCATATGTTTGGGGAGTCTCCCACATGCCTTTTGGCGAACACCAAACGTGTTTGCTTATTTTTTTCTTTAAGCAATGGCTTTTTTCTGGCCACTCTTCCATAAAGCCCAGCTCTATGGAGTGTACGGCTTAAAGTGGTCCTATGGACAGATACTCCAATCTCCGCTGTGGAGCTTTGCAGCTCCTTCAGGGTTATCTTTGGTCTCTTTGTTGCCTCTCTGATTAATGCCCTCCTTGCCTGGTCCGTGAGTTTTGGTGGGTGGCCCTCTCTTGGCAGGTTTGTTGTGGTGCCATATTCTTTCAATTTTTTAATAATGGATTTAATGGTGCTCCGTGGGATGTTCAAAGTTTCAGATATATTTAAAAACCCAACCCTGATCTGTATTTCTCCACAACATTGTCCCTGACCTGTTTGGAGAGCTCATTGGTCTTCATGGTGCCACTTGCTTGGTGGTGCCCCTTGCTTAGTGGTGTTGCAGACTCTGGGGCCTTTCAGAACAGGTGTACATATACTGAGATCATGTGACAGATCATTTGACATTGCACACAGGTGGACTTTATTTAACTAATTATGTGACTTCTGAAGGTAATTGGCGGCAGGTAGCTTAGTGGTTAAGAGCGTTGTGCCAGTAACCGAAAGGTCGCTGGTTCTAATCCCCGAGCCGACTAGGTGGAAAACCTGTCGATGTGCCCTTGAGCAAGGCACTTAACCCTAATTGCTCCTGTAAGTCGCTCTGGATAAGAGCGTCTGCTAAATGACCAATTTATTTATTATTATTTATTTATTAATTGGTTGCACCAGATCTTATTTAGGGGTTTCATAGCAAAGGGGGTGAATACAGTTGAAGTCGGAAGTTTACATACACCTTAGCCAAAAACATTTAAACTCAGTTTATCACAATTCCTGACATTTAATCCTAGTAAAAATTCCCTGTCTTAGGTCAGTTAGGATCACCATATATTTTAAGAATGTTAAATGTCAGAATAATAGTAGAGTGAACGATTTATTTCAGCTTTTATTTCTTTCATCACATTTCCAGTGGGTCAGAAGTTTACATACACTCAATTAGTATTTGGTTGCATTGCCTTTAAATTGTTTAACTTGGGTCAAACGTTTCGGGTAGCCTTCCACAAGCTTCCCACAATAAGTTGGGTGAATATTGGCCCATTCTTCCTGACAGAGCTGGTGTAACTGAGTCAGGTTTGTAGGCCTCCTTGCACGACACGCTTTTTCAGTTCTGCCCACACATTTTCTATAGGATTGAGGTCAGGGCTTTGCCACTCCAATACCTTGACTTTGTTGTCCTTAAGCCATTTTGCCACAACTTTGGAAGTATGCTTGGGGTCATTGTCCATTTGGAAGACCCATTTGCGACCAAGCTTTAACTTCCTGACTGATGTCTTGAGATGTTGCTTCAATATATCCACATAATTTTCCTTCCTCATGATGCTATCTATTTTGTGAAGTGCACCAGTCCCTCCTGCAGCAAAGCACCCCCACAGCATGATGCTGCCACCCCTGTGCTTCATGGTTGGGATGGTGTTCTTCGGCTTGCAAGCTCCCCCCTTTTTCCTCCAAACATAATGATGGTCATTATGGCCAAACAGTTCTATTTTTGTTTCATCAGACCAGAGGAAATTTCTCCAAAAAGTACGAACTTTGTCCCCATGTGCAGTTGCAAACCATAGTCCGGCTTTTTTATGGCGGTTTTGGAGCAGTGGCTTCTTCCTTGCTGAGCGGCCTTTCAGGTTATGTCGATATAGGACTCGTTTTACTGTGGATATAGATACTTTTGTACCTGTTTCCTCCAGCATTTTCACAAGGTCCTTTGCTGTTGTTCTGGGATTGATTTGCACTTTTCGCACCAAAGTACGTTAATCTCTAGGAGACAGAACGCGTCTCCTTCCTGAGCAGTATGACGGCTGCGTGGTCCCATGGTGTTTATGCTTGTGTATTATTGTTTGTACAGATGAACGTGG